TTCATGTTTGCTGATAGATTTTTAATAAAGATAAATTGTGCCTTCATCAGTAGTGGATTAGAGATATACAGTTATGTTCACAAGTGGGCCAATTCAATCCAGTTTTGTTCAGGTAGATATTTAATGATGCAGAAAATAACAATCTGATTGTACAATTCATTTATGACGCTTTATAATAACAAATAAGTGCTATAAAATATTTGCTCGCATAGTTGCATTAATTACCCTGCCCATACTTTATTAAAATAAATAATTGCCCAAAAATAGTTTTGCTCGCGCGCCTTGCATGCTCGCATTTTTTTAGGTGCCCTACTGTGCCCCTGTATAGTATTGGGTCAGCTGACACCCCTGCTCTGTTCAGTCATTGATAGGAGACAATCTGCTCTATTAGGGGAGAAGTGAAGGTAATGGGGGAAAAAAAAGCCAATTTCTGTATTTTCTGTTTCTCTGGACTCCAAACAGATGCTGTGAAATGTTAACTTGAAAACAGATTTCAGAGCAGAAACTAGTGCTGGCAATGAGGAAAAGATGACGTCCCTTTAGGTGTCCATCATCAGAAATGAGTAGATGACGGCGTGGCGGGAACCTTCGCTTCCATGGAGTCAATTTATTTCTGATAATGGACGAATCCGAGGGCTTTATCCTCCTTATACCATCGTAACTTAGAAATATTAAATCGGTTATTGAAAGGTTCGGATTTCCTTTTATCACTGAAATCATACGTTTTTCACCAGAAGCTCAGTGGACTTTTTAATATCTCTCTATATGATATAGATTGTTGCCAAGGTAACGGCTCCGGCATCAAAGCTGCTGTTTAAAGTCATGTTAAGTGACACAAAGTATCAGACTCGAACTTTTCATAGATTACTTTTTTATTGGACACCCTGTAGCCAATCAGAATCAAGGATTTACCCAAACCATAAAGACCTGATCAACAGCTAATTCCCCTGAACTCCGATCAAGAACCACACGGCATTCTGGGAGATGTAGGCCGAGGAAAGTATTCAGCCTCAGCCAATAATAGTGAAGCTCAGCTAGGGTGGTAGGGCGGACATACTTTAAAAGGTTAAAGGATATGTTTTAAAGGGATTAGTGTTAAACTTTTAACCCTTTATAGGGCAGTTTAGCGTTTTTGTTCACTAGCATACCCCTTACAAATAGAGCATTTCTTATAGAAGCACTTTTGTTATTTTTCTTAATATATTCAGGCAAGTTGGCATTTCTTGTTATTACATTGACATTAATTTATGCCATCAAAATATCCATATTTTTTTAATGTTACAAAGGTAATAAGGTCTTGTCCAATATTTCACTGAGTGTCCTATAAAGGGTTAATCCAGGGTTTTTTCTCCTGCTCCTGTTTTCAAAAAGGTAAATAAAAAAATAAAACAAAATCTATGTTTATGGACGAATCTGGAAGGCCCAGCAGAAACGCCAGCTGCTACGGTCTGACACGTTTAGTTACTCCAGAGAAGATTCATTTCTGTTTGACATCCCAGCATCCCCTGCTGTCCTGTGTCCTAATGCTGAGCTCCAGAGCCGGGGTCCTGCTCCTCCTCAGCAGGTTCTGCACAGGCCTGGTGAGAAACTGTTCATCTGACTCAGGAGCAAAGGGGTCAAAGTATCCATGTTTATTGCCCCAGTAGAAGTATAAATCCTGCTGGTTTAAAAATACTTTTATAGAAGTTAGAGGATCAACTTCAGCTTTCTACTCCAATGTAAAAGTACCATTTTTAAAATTGATTAAAGTGTAAAAGCAAAGGTCATGCAGGAAAAAAAAATTAAGGACAGAAGCTTTACTGCACTACCCTATTAAAGGAGCATTTTTCTACAATTCTGGGTGATAACTTCCTGCATTCAGACCGCACGCTGCAGCAGCAGCTAAAACGTACGTGCTGCTTCATTTTTTCATACTTGTATAAGTTTAGTTCTGATGCGTCTGAAGCATCTTTGCTGCTCTAGCTGCGCGGTGGAAAAGTGGGTCTGATGCGCGTTGGGCGGAGCTACCCTATCCTTTCTTTGGCTGGAACAATAGCAGCTATATTTGCTGTGATGATCAGCGGGTAAAAAGTAGTTTGAACAGACCATGTTTTCAGGAGGACTTTCTCACTTCAAAATAGATTCAGTCAGTTCATCCAGATTACCATCCTGCCTTCAAAGATTATTTCTCTGTGGGAGCCGCTCAGACCCCCCACATAGCAGCGGTCACTGGGAATCCCCAGCAGCAGCTGCCTCAGGCCTGCTCGCCTCTTGGAGGTTTTCCCCTACTGTTGGTGGCAGCTGGAAGTAGATGTTAGCGTTTTTCAGGTCTGCTACAAACTGCAGGCACCAGGATAATAAAACCAAACATATTCTGCCGGCAGGTTTCTACATTTTAAGCGAATTTAGGCATTAATAAAGTGTTTCAGAGGAGTGATCATAGCGCTCTGCATCAGCAGTGCTGTGTCTGACTCCCTGCCAGCTCCCAGATTAGCTTCTCTCATTGGTTGATGTGGCGTATCCAACAGCAAAAATAAAATGTTTCCAACTCCAGCAGCTGCTGTTTCCGAAGCGCAACACGCGCCTCACATGCTGAGAAGATCATGAGGCGCTGCTTCTGCTGCTCTAGACATGCTGCAGGACTTTTTGCTGCTCCATGATGTTTGTCAACCATTAACTTCTGCTGCTTCTGCTGCTTGCGGTCTGAACGCAGCAGACTTAATTTTCTTAGTTTTACTCTGCCGTTTTACTGTCATTACACTGTCACTAGAAGAGAGCAATGAAATTCAGTCTCTGCATTTAACCCATCCCCTTGGGGAGCAGTGGACTGCCATTGTGCGGCGCCTGGGAGCAGCATTGGGTTAAGGTTCTTGCAGACCTCCAACCCCACTGTGGGGCTTAAACTCAGAACCCAAGCGCTACGCCCCAAGCACTAGCCCACCACCCCCCAGAGCAGGCATTAGCATGAAGGGTCTTGCTTAAGGACTAACACTGGCAGCTGACATACAAACCCAGGCTTCCTGTTTGCAGAACAGGTGACTTACCACTTAAGCTAGGCGGCCGCTAGACTAATTTATAAAACAATAACATTTTTTTATTTTTATTTTTAAAGCAAATTTGTAACTAATTTAATCAAATTTCATCTTAAAAAACTATTTTGGTATGTGGTGAGCAACAAGTTGGGGCAACACCGAGTCCAGCCACAAAGAAATGAATAGTATGGATGAAACTAATTATTTTGATGGTTTTTATTGCTTTTAGATACAAACAGGCCATAATGAAAAGGAGCTGAAATGAAACAAAACTAACTATTTTTAAAATGTAAGGAGTAGAAGGAAAAAGTTGTCTAGAAAATAATTACTTCAGTAAAGTATAGATAGCCTACATTTCTGCTTCAGTACAGTAATGAAGTATTTGTACTTAGTTACTTGACGCCTCTGACTCAGGAGGATCTAACCCAAGCGGGACCCTGACCTTCATGGCTGCAGCTGACCCCCTCTGGTCTTGGAGTTGTTGGGTCTTGAACACGGAGCGGAGCGGCCGGGAGACACGGAGCCGCTCATTATTAGAAAGACGAGCACCTTCTCAATCAGTAAAACACACTCATCGAGGTGAGCCCCATGGAAACACACACACACACACACACCCCAACAAAAACCAACACACACCCTGAGCCCTGACAGATGGAACATGCTCCTCCATATTCTGTCCTCATAAAACAGGACTGTGGCCTCCAATATCAATTACCCTCTCACTCTGGGTAGGGTGGGGGGGGCAGAGGAAGAAGAACCAGGAAGAGGGGGTTTAATTCTAATTAGATTTTCTGGTCTATTTGGCTGCTGCTTGAAGAAGACAAGAGCTCATTTCACAGCCCTCAAAGCAGAGTGAGGAGGTGCATAATGAAGGGGGAGGAAGAGGAGAGCGGCAGCGGGTTGAGATCCTTCTTTAGCACAACGCTAAACATGCTGCATATGTAAATAAATGGCAGAGACGGATCTGCTGGTCCGCAGAGCGTCTGCAGGAAGAGAACTGCTGCTGCTGAGCTGGCCTCAGACATGTTCTCCTCTTCCTCTATGGAGACACGTCATCACAGCTGCTTCATTGGCTCAGCTGATCAGGATCTGAGCAGAACCAAGAATTCACTTTATGCTTTAACCGTTTAACTGAACATTTCTTCCCCTGAATCAGAACTTCCACAAAAACTTTTCCATCCTTTCAGCTTTTTGTAGGTTTTCTCTGATCATCAATTTTTAAATAATTTAATTTAGCTGTCAAACTACATTTAGGTGTAGCCCAGGAATCCTGAATGGACTCAAGGTCAGAGTTCTTCATGCAGCCTAAGCTTAGCAGGTCAAACACCCCATTTTTGATTTTATGGGAAATACAAAAGGATATTAGATTTCTGAGGAGGTTTACAGACAAAATGAGCCCAGTAATGCCAGGATTGGAGGCGTGTTGGATGACAGAAGACTGAATAATTAGTTATTGGCGTTTGTGGAGGATGGCTGGCTTAGAATTCAGTTTTCTTTAGGATCGGTCCATTCTAAAGAGGTACAACATGTTGAGTTTAGTTTAGAAATAAGCTTGATGTTTGATGGGGAAAGAAATGTGACGTAAAAACGACGCGGGGCCAGCGGGGGAAGCAAATTTTTTTTTTCTGGAGCTATTTAGTTTAGTTGATTTCTACTAGCTTAGAGAGGGCTTTTAAACTGATTTAAGATTATTATTGTTGTTAATAAATTCTTGTTTTGAAGGGAAGTTGTTCATTTATTCCATATGTGTGCAGAGATAACTGGTCGATCTGAGCTTGAATCTCATATGTTATCCTAAAACACCTGTTCACAGGAAAGCACAGGACAGTCTGAAGGATATGTGATTAAATATTAAATCAGACTAACGCTGCACAACAGGAGCAGACGTGAAATTATTTATGCATGAAGCTCAGATTGTGCAGGAGCGCGACAATGACGCCTGGATGCTAACTTCTGATAGTTGCTGTAAATAACTGTGCAGTCATTAACTTCTAGGAACATACTCAGCTGCCTGCTGCAGATGGCGGGCCCGGAGTAAAGCTTCGTCTCTCTCCTCATTGGCCAGCAGTAGACGTGACATCAGAGACTGATCTCTGTCCTTCTGTGCTGCCAGCAACTCCTCCAACACCGCTGCAGAAACAATGAGATGGGGGGGGTCAAAATCTGTGGTTTTAGAAAAATAAATCTCATAAAGGTTTCACTTTGATAAAGGGGGGATTTAGTTAAAACGAGGGGAACCAGAATCCCTGAAGCTGACCGGCCAATCAGTGCAGACCTTATTGCTGCAGTGTGTCTCTGTTTCAGCAGTAATAACACAGAAATGACCACAGCTCATGTGAGGCTGGGAGCCTAGAGACTCTGCTGGTTATTGAAGGGTTCTGTGTGGGCCCCGGCCATACAGTTCCCTGCTCATACAGCTGCTACCATCTGAAGCAGGGACACATCCCCAGCTTAGATGCTCTGGTTTAGCAATAAGAGCTCAGAGTTCAGCTCCATCATTATCATCATCACATCTCTCTAGGTTAGCTAGAGGATCTGGCCAACACCCAGGAACTGGTTTTGGAGAGAAAAATCCAACTGCAATTGGACTGGGATGTCCTGCCAGGCTACCAGGAAGCCAGAGGAATCTAATCCAACCAGCTGTCTCCCATGACCTGGTCTCAATCTGTAGAAGGTCTATAGGGGTGGAACAGAAGGAGGGTTCCTCTGTGCAGAGCGGCTGGAGTCATGAAGGAAATGTCTGATGACACAGAAGCTCTAAAGCCTTCAGGGAATCCTCCTCGCCCTAACAGGTGAATCAGGATGTGAGACGATAGTCTGGAGGGGAGCTCCTCTGGTCTGAGCCCATCTCTGCACCCCCACAAACCACACTGCAACTAATCATCCAAACTATGAATCTTATCTTAAAATAAGTGTATTATTAATTGAAGAAGGTAAATAATGTGATCTGCTAATGGAAGGACCATTTCTATTAAAATAAGATAATCTGATATTATACACTTGAAATAACTTAATGAGTTTTTCTTTACTTTAAATCATCTTACTGACAAAATGTCTTACTTACCAAAACAAGACAAAGACACAAATTTTAAGAAGAATCAACTTACTCATATTTAGATTTTTACAGTGAGTGTGCAGAGGATGATTAGCATGGCAGAGTATTTAGAGCTGCAGCAGCAGGATGAGATAGTCGCTTCATAGAGAGCTGCAGGAAGATGAATGAGGCCAGGGCTGGCGGTCCTGATTTCAGACTACTGCATGCTCCCACCAATGTATCAAACCTTTACCTCAGGAACCAGACATGCTCAGATTAAGCAGACATCATCTTTGCATGCTAAAAGAGCTCAGGACCCCTCAGGGCTAACATGAGGTCCTGGCCATGGTGGGGTACTGGCGAACAATGGGTCCTGGCTAACAGTGGGCTCCTGGCCAACATGGGCTCCCGGCCAACAATGGGCTCCCAGCCAACAAGGGGTCCTGGCTAACAAGAGGTCCTGGCTAACAAAGGGGCCTGGCTAACAAAGGGGCCTGGCTAACAAGGGGTCCTGCCCAGCATGGATTCCTGGCTAACATGGGGTCCCAGCCAACATGGGGTCCCGGCCAACATGGGGTTCTGGCTAAAATGTGCTCCTGGCCAACATGGGGTCCCGGCCAACATGGGGTCCCGGCCAACATGGGGTCCCAGCCAACATGGGCTCCCGGCCAACATGAGGTTCTGGCTAAAATGTGCTCCTGGCCAACATGGAGTCCTGGCAAACAAGGGGTTCTGGCTAAAATGGGGTTCTGGCCAAAATGGGCTTCTGACCAACATGGGCTCCTGGCCAACATGGGCTCCTGGCCAACATGGGGTTCTGGCTAAAATGGGGTTCTGGCCAAAATGGGGTCCTGGAAAACATGAGCTCCTGGCCAACATGAGTTCCTGGCTAACACGGGGTCCTGGCCAACATGTTGCCGTGGACAGGGTCTGAATGGATGCAGTGGTGGGAGTTAGTTGGAACATAGGGAGCTGAACGGTTCGGGAACATCTGAACTAATAATTATCCACATCCCCAAGGAAGACCTAGACCTTAGATGATCCAGTAGAACAGTCTAGACAAAACATGGAGTATTCCAGGTGGATCTTGGTGAGGAAGGGGAGTGTGACGTGAGCCAACCCCTCCCTCCTTACCTGTTGGTCTCTCCCAGTGTTTGGCTTCTCGATGCTGCTCGTTCAGCTCCTCATCCAACTCCCTCTTCAGCAGCTCCTTCTCCTTCTCTACCATCTGCTTTTGAAGCTGATGAACAGGTTGTGAGTTAGACACTGTGAGCTGAAGCTTAGCTTCTGATTAGGCAAAAAATGGCAGAAGGGGATGCTGCTTCCAGAGAGCAAGCAGCTGAGACTACTGGGTCTACAGGGTCTATAGGGCCTACTGGATCTACGGGGTCTACAAGGTCTACTGAGCCTACTGATTGTATTAGGTCTACAGGGTCCACAGGACCTATTGGGTCTTCTTGGTCGACAGGTACTACTGATTCTACAGAGTCTACTGGGCCTGCTGGGTCTTCTTGTCCTACTCGGTTTACAGGGCCTATAGGGTATAATTATTCTACGGTATCTACAGGGCGTACTGGCTCTTCTTGTCCTACTGGTTCTTCTTGGTCTACAGGGTTTCACTGCTACACTGCAATTTCCCAGCTTGGGATAAATAAAGTACATCTATCTATCTATCTATCTATCTATCTATCTATCTATCTATCTATCTATCTATCTATCTTTCCTGGGTGTACAAGGTCTACTGGGTCTACAAGGACTAGTGGACCTTCTTGTACTACTGGGTCTACAGGGTCTACTGGCTCTTCTTGTCCTACTGGTTCTTCTTGGTCTACAGGGTTTCCTGGGTGTACAAGGTCTACTGGGTCTACAAGGACTAGTGGACCTTCTTGTACTACTGGGTCTACAGGGTCTACTGGCTCTTCTTGTCCTACTGGTTCTTCTTGGTCTAAAGGGTTTGCTGGGTGTACAAGGTCTACTGGGTCTACAAGGACTAGTGGACCTTCTTGTACTACTGGGTCTACAGGGTCTACTGGCTCTTCTTGTCTTACTGGTTCTTCTTGGTCTAAAGGGTTTGCTGGGTGTACAAGGTCTACTGGGTCTACAAGGACTAGTGGACCTTCTTGTACTACTGGGTCTACAGGGTCTACTGGCTCTTCTTGTCCTACTGGTTCTTCTTGGTCTACAGGGTTTCCTGGGTGTACAAGGTCTACTGGGTCTACAAGGACTAGTGGACCTTCTTGTACTACTGGGTCTACAGGGTCTCCTTAGTCTTCTCTGTCTACAGGGTCTCTGTTATCCAACCAGCCATGAACTGGACTGTTGTTAATTTTGTATAATTTCTATATTAGATAATAGATTATGTGGTTAAGAAGTAAATCTATTTATCGTTAATTTATTATTGCATTATATTCTCCTGAAAGTCTTTGGATTCTTCCACCAAAGGTATTTCTATGGAAGGCTGGTGGGTCCAGAGTTCTGGGATATGCCTTAGAACCAAAGGAGACGGACAAATCCAGACCAAACTGACTGCAATCTTAGGGTCCTCCTGATCTCCTGCTCCAACCACGGTCAGTGACACTTGTTTGGAGATGTTGCCACAAGATGACAACCATGTTAATGAAAAAAAACTTCTCTTCCTCTTCCTCATTCTCTGAAAGTCCTTCACATGAAAAGGACATCAGAGGGATGAAAGAAGAGGGAAGATCCTTGGATCAGACATAGCTTTAATTAAGGGTGACAGAACTTACTGTGCTGTTGAGTTCCCTCAGGGCGTCCAGTTCCTTCAGCAAGAGTGAGATGTTTGGGCTCTGATGTGGGCTGGATGCAGGAATCTGAGGGGAGCTGTTCAAAACAAAACAGTTCATTTAATCCACGGAAACAGCACTGTGGACTTTATGAATAAGAGCCTAAAAATGTAGACAAACAACAGCAAAAAAAAAACAGCCCTTATTAAGTAGAACAGAATTGAACGAAAAACAAATATTCAAATATGAGGAGTTAAACAAATGGTATAAATTGCATCATGTACATCTGGTTGAAAATTGTTGCTCCTACAAAAACTGAGCAAACGGTGTCAAAGGCAGAAGCAGAATTTGGCGCTGTCCTGGGTGCTGAAGGGGGAGCATGAAGGCAGCGTGTTCCATCAGTCTCAGAGTGGAATCAATGAGGCTGTGGTAGAACCATAAATGGTTCTTCCATCTTTTATGGTGATTTTCTGCTCAAACAGCTTAAAACAAAGAAACTTGTGGTTTGATAAGATTTTACAATTATTTATGCTTCATTGATGATCATCTGTGGATCATTGGATTATTTTGAATGATAATTTTAATTGGTTAGCTAAAATGGAGCTTCAGTGTTTGAAAGAAATCCCCATCGAACTTTTATTTTCATTACTTTCATTTATTTCAGGTCAGAAAACAGCAAAACCCTTTAAAGGATTAACCTTATCACTCCTCATTCCTTTTAAACCATGGTAAACATGACGACATCCAAATTTTAGCCCTCTTTTGGTTTAAGTGTAACCACTTTAAAACTAATCAATAAAAAAGCAGCATCTGGAATAAACATAATTTATCATTTCCAAATATTGAAGGAATGAATTAATTAGATGGGACTGCATGGCTTCGCCTATTGTGTTCTCTAGTTTATGACAGAGAAATGCCTTTTTGGACCCTTATGGCTGAATTAATTGCTGCGGAGGACCGGATTCAGCCCACAGGCCTCGAGTTTGACAAAGGCTCTAGAAACTCCTGAAACTAAAAAAGAAAAAGCTGATTCAGAACAGAGAAGCTGAAAAAAAGCCTCCAGGAATCCTGTAAGTCCAGGCCCTTTTTCTAAATTCTTCAATTATTGTTTTCAAATAACGTAGTATTTCCTCTCTAATGCAACTCTAGCAGGGATTCCCAAAGTGAGATGGTTTTCACAATGTCACAAACACCCAGAGGCACGGCGAAACACCCTGAGGCACGCCGAAACACCCCGAGGCACGCCGAAACACCCCGAGGCACGCCGAAACACCCCGAGGCACGCCGAAACACCCAGAGGCACGGCGAAACACCCAGAGGCACGGCGAAACACCACGAGGCACGGCGAAACACCACGAGGCACGACAAAAAAACACCCTGAGGCACGGCAAAACACCCTGAGGCACGCTAAAACACCCTGAGGCACGGCAAAACACCCTGAGGCACGCTAAAACACCCTGAGGCACGGCAAAACACCCTGAGGCACGCTAAAACACCCTGAGGCACGCTAAAACACCCTGAGGCACGGCAAAACACCCTGAGGCACGCTAAAACACCCTGAGGCACGCTAAAACACCCTGAGGCACGCTAAAACACCCTGAGGCACGCTAAAACACCCTGAGGCACGGCAAAACACCCTGAGGCACGCTAAAACACCCTGAGGCACGGCAAAACACCCTGAGGCACGCTAAAACACCCTGAGGCACGCTAAAACACCCTGAGGCACGGCAAAACACCCTGAGGCACGCTAAAACACCCTGAGGCACGGCAAAACACCCTGAGGCACGCTAAAACACCCTGAGGCACGCTAAAACACCCTGAGGCACGGCAAAACACCCTGAGGCACGCTAAAACACCCTGAGGCACGCTAAAACACCCTGAGGCACGGCAAAACACCCTGAGGCACGCTAAAACACCCTGAGGCACGGCAAAACACCTTGAGGCACGGCAAAACACCCTGAGGCACGGCAAAACACCCTGAGGCACGGCAAAACACCCCGAGGCACGCCGAAACACCCCGAGGCACGCCGAAACACCCCGAGGCACGCCGAAACACCCCGAGGCACACTAAAACACCCTGAGGCACACTAAAACACCCTGAGGCACGCCAAAGAACCCTGAGGAAATTGAAAAAATACATAGAAAGTTCAGTGTATGCCAGTGTTTTAGGAGATTATGGGACGTCAGGCAGGCGCTGGATAAATCAGCAAGATGTGACAGGGGCTCTATAGGAAGGGCCAAAATGTCAGGAAATATATAAATGCGAATGTGCAATGAAATAAGCAGTGGAAACATTAATTTACTTATTTATCCTGATTTTAAAAAATGATATATATAATCTAAATGTAAAATACCCGATTAAATAATGGAATTAAATGCCATTTAATAAAGTAGACATTTAAAAAAATTAATTAAAATATGTAATCAAAAAAATTATGAATATAATTTCTGAACTATGTATTAATGAACAAATGTAGATTCTCTGTATGTTTAGGGGCCCTCCGGTCTGATGCAGTGCTATTCTTGGGGTCACGGACTGAAGTGTTTGGGAAGCTGTGAACGCTACCATAACCCGCTGCAGGGATTTCATCAAACACAGAGTTCCTACAATCCTGTCAAACACTCTCGCTAAAGAGCAAACGAGGTGACCAAAGCTGGTTGTTTTGAACAATTTCTCTAGAAGGGTGCAGTAACCAGCTGTGGACTGAGCCCAGCTCTGTTCCTGCAGCCGCGGGTACGAAGGCAGCGGCAGGTCAGTTAGTGTTCGCTCGGGTCTCCTGGGACATCACCTCAGTGTGTTTCATTAGTTTCCTCCTGTGTGTTGTTAGGTGTTTTAAAGCGAAGGTGCGCCCTCACATTATCGCCTCTGCAGCACAGCAGCGCAGGCAGCAGATTTAATAAGCAGCCACTGATGTTCGCCTGTAATTCTCCCTTATTACCTTAAAGGTCAGATTGCTTCTTAGTGTAATAAAGCAGGTAAATAAGACACTGAGATATGAGTGACACTGTATTTTGTAATTGACTGTTTCTGACTTTATTATAGCAGCTCTGTCTAATCAACTGCTCCCCCTCCTGCTGCTTTTACTACCTTCCTATTTCTATAAGGCCTTCAAGCACTCCAACTAATCAAATCAAATCTAAATTTAACAGCCAGCACCTCCAACTCTCCACACATTTATTTGAAAAAGAATCGAAAGAAGAGACATAGTAACATGAATCACAGTATCTACAAGAAAAGATGAGGTTTCAATGAAAAGCAATAAACTTTTTAATAAATCTTTTTGTGGAGCGGCTCCACATATACAAAATTAATCCTTAAAAATGAGCACAAATATTACGGAAATAGCAGCAATATTTTCATCTCATTAAGAAAGATGGGATCTACTTTTTGCTGTGAGCTCAGCTGTGAGGTCAATAGGGTCGGTCTGACATCCTCTAACCAAGGTGTGGTTGCTGCACAGGGATCAGCTGCCAAGAATAATCCAATATGGCCGACGAGGTTGCACTGGATCATTTCAAACCGTTTATATGTAGAAATCACCTTTAACAGGTGCAGATAGCAGTCATCTCTACCTGTACATTGATTTCAGTTCTGAAGAGAAACGTTAAAATTCAGCTGAGCTCCCAGCGTGCGGAGGCTGCTCCGCTCGTCTATGCAATAAAATAATAATAATAAAAAAAAAAAATCAACAGTCCAGAGAGGGAAGTTTTCACCCTCCTCAGATTTCTTCCGTTTCTATTTTAAATGTGAACACCTTAAGCGCCTTAAATCCTTGTGTTGATGTAATTATGTCTTTTATTTAACTTTCACAAGCGTTTAAAGATCACAGCTAAAAGTCTTTCATCAAAGATATTCATTTTTCAAAAGTAGTAAATCCCCAAACATCTAGAGTGGCGCAGAATAAAAGTTTATTGGAAAGAAAAATAAATTAGCATATAAACCATTGCTCTATAGAGTTCAGTATGGAAGAAAAACTGTCTCGTGAGAATCTGCCTTTTTTGTAAACTTAATTTTTTTTACACATTGAATTCCTTTCACTGAATTTTTATCTGGTGAAAAATTCAGCTGCAAAAAATTCAGCCGCATCAAGGTCTACAGCCTCCGTACATGGTTCATGCACGCTAACCACTGTGCCACCTACACACCCGGCAGGGGCGGATTCACCATTAGGCAGTTGCCTAGGGCCCCAGGTTCCTGGGGGCCTCTTAAAACTCTGGCCCCGTCCACACGAAGACGAACCCTGGCCTAAACGCACAAATTTTTCACCAAACCAGCCTCTCATCCACACGAAGCCGGCGTTTCGGGGGTGTGTAAACGATCTTTTTTTTATTCAGCCTTCAGAGTGGGCAGATTTCGAAACGCCGTTTTAGCGTTTCCATCTTTACGCTCTAACCGCATATTTTTTTTTACACGCATGCGTCATAGCGTCGCCTCTAAACACGCATGCGCGACACATCACAACAACAATGGCGCCGTTGCTGCTAATGCTACTCACCCTGCTGTCGGGCTTACAACAGAATCTTCTTCTTCTGGAATATCTCCAGGAAGAACAGAGCAATATCGACGACATAGTTCAGCACCTGAATTTGACTTAACCACGAAAATGGACCCGCAGGGCAACCATGTATAAATATTAGTGCGCATGACCAACATTTCGTCGCTTATTTTTGCTTTGGCACCACAGCGCCACTTACAGGCCTGGCATACATTTTGCAGCGTTTTCATGCATTCGTGTGGACGCTCACATTTATTTTACGTCTCCGTCTTTACGGCAAACGTTTTGGAAAATATCAGCGTTTCGTGTTCGTTTTGACTTCGTGTGGACGGGGCCTCTAACTATTCCTTATTTGTGCACATTAATTATATTTTTGATAAAAATCCTTTGGCTAAGATGCCATCAGAACGCTTAGAATATTAAGTGTGTCTCAGCCCCCCCCCTTTCAGTGTCCACCATATTGGATCAGTCCATTTGCTGCACATGTTCAGAAAGGTCCAAACAGACAGCAGCAAACCATTTGAAAACAAACGATGCAAAGAGATCCTGAATCCAGATTAAATCTGAACAGGTTACCAGAAATAAAAATAAAAAAATGAATACCTTAAGAGGAGACCCTAAAAAATGCCTTCAGAAGAAAAACTTTCATTACAAAACATCCTTTCTTCTGCTCTATAGCTACATATTGCACAAAAGGTGAAGGTTGTTTAATGATTTTTACTGCTTTTCTAATTTAAAGTTGAAATAAACCTATAAATACGACGCTACTTTAACTGATCAGCCCTGATCTAGATATTTATAACATCAGTAGAGCTTCATTAGCACATGGTAGGCCAACACAGGGACCAAACCATTGGTTAGTTCCAGGCTTCCACCACTGGAAACCAGTTTCCTTAGTGAAAGCTGTAATCCAGTATAACCAGTCATCTTATTATCAGAGGCTCTTACCTGCTGTGACCAGAGAGCAGGTTTCTTCCCATGGCAGGCAAATCTGGACCTCTGAATGTTGCTGCTGCTTCTATGCAGGGCTCAGAGCTCTCTGCCCAAGGAGAAGGATCGCTGCTCGGCACCACGTCTGCTTCCATCTCACCGGAACCTCCTGGAAAACCTGAAGATAGAAGAGCCAACGAGCTCCTGGTGGAGGAAGGGGACTGAGGGGAGGCTGTCCTCCAGACAGGAGATGGAGAACTGCTGATGGGATACAGGGCTTAGAGGGAGAGACAGGAGGAGAAGTTAGGATAGATGGATGGATGGATGGAATGATGGAATGATGCATGGATGGATGCATGGATGGATGCATGGATGGATGGATGGACGGATGGATAGATGGATGGACGGAAAGATGCATGGATGGATGGACTGATGGAATGATGCATGGATGGATAGATGCATGGATGGACGGATGGATGGATGGATGGAAGGATGGATGGAATGATGGATGGATGGATGGATGGATGGATGGATGGATGGATGGACGGACGGATGGATGGATGCATGGAAGGATGGATGGAATGATGGATGGACGGATGGACGGATGGATGGATGGATGGAAGGATGGATGGAATGATGGATGGACGGATGGATGGAATGATGGATGGATGGATGGATGGACGGATGGATGGATGCATGGAAGGATGGATGGAATGATGGATGGACGGATGGACGGATGGATGGATGGACGGATGGACGGAATGATGGATGGACGGATGGATGGATGGATGGAAGGATGGATGGAATGATGGATGGACGGATGGATGAAATGATGGATGGATGGATGGATGGATGGATGGATGGACGGATGGATGGACGGATGGACGGAATGATGGATGGACGGATGGATGGATGGACGGATGGAAGGATGGATGGATGGACGGAAGGATGGATGGAATGATGGATGGACGGATGGATGGATGCATGGAAGGATGGATGGAATGATGGATGGACGGATGGATGGATGGACGGATGGACGGATGGATGGATAGATGGATGGATGGACGGATGGAATGATGGAATGATGGATGGATGGATGGATGGATGGATGCATGGATGGATGGAGTTACCCTGAGGTGAGGTGTGGTCCAGGCTCAGGCTGCTTCCTGATCTGTAAACCAAATGAAGAAGAAGAAATGAGAGGTGTTCTTCTGGCTGCAGGTTAAGGGTGGGTATTGCCAAAGAAGTCACGATTCGATTCGAATCACGATTCACAGGCCACGATGCGATTCTATCACGATGCATCACGATACTTGAATTATTGCGATGCATTGCAATATTTTCTCCTCCATGTTTTGTTTTTGAATGACTCGGCACAGTATCCCACGGCCGGAAATGCTTGTGACACAAGGCAGCGTGCGTCAACACATTTGCAGCGACATCTACTGGACTAGAAGTGATATTACACTTGTTTTTGGCTGATGTTTGCCAACCATTCATGCAATTTTATTTATTCATTTTATTAAATTAATAATCGATTCTTGGCATCAAGAATCGATGCAGTAGATCACGAAAATTAGAATCACGATGCATCATCATCACGATTATTTTGCACACCCCTACTGCAGGTGGAATCTGGTTTCTGTCCTTCAGGACGAGGAAGTTCAGACCTGAACTGAATTCTAGGAGGTTTTAGTATTTCAGGCTTTTATCAGCAGAGATCTTGTAGCATCTCTAGAGGTTCTGAGTGCAAAATAAATTAGCCTCTGTTCTAATGTCTGCAGCTTGTTCAGATTCAGTGCAAAATAAAGTAGATGACCATGAACCTCCAAGGAGAGATGTGCTTCCTGTCCGTGTTCCGGTTGCAACTGCAACACCATGCTGACAGTAAAGAACCACCATAAGAAAGGAGGCAGATCTAACTCCCTGTGTGGAACAATGTTTGCCAAGTCCTTCATGAGGGTCTCGGAAAACAAGCAGTGGCTTTTTGGGTCCTTTTAGGAAACCAAGAACCTCAAAGAAAACCAAAAACCCAAGAACTTCAAATGGTTTTGGCTTCATTTAAAGTTCATTACAGAAGCTTGATGTTAAACCGATGAGACTGAGATCTGTATTCCTGCACTTCAGGCTGTGGATTGTGAAGGAGGTGCACCAACCTGTGGGTGTTGCTAAGGTGCTGCCTGGAAGGTGAGGGAAGACGCTGCTGCAGCTCCTCGTTCACTCTGGGATTAACTAGAAGACAGAAGAAAAACTGAAACTAAAGAGTCCGCCCATCAAACACTACAGCTTATATAGAACAGCAGGAGCAACCTTGTTCATAAAGACACAGCTTTGATAGATTGATGTATTTCACAGGGTGGCTGGTTGCTGGGGGCTTAAAGGTATTATGGAGGATTTTCACAAATTTTTCACAAAGAGACCAACCCTCTTCACCTTAATAAAAAATGCACATGCACAACCCTGTGGCCGCTCCCGAGAGGGAACGCCTATTAAATGCGTGCAAGGAGAAATGGGCTTGTGCACGCTCTGTTTAAAAGTTGCTGTTTGCATCGTTTATCCAAGCTTACTGTGTCCAACCGTCCGCCCTAACCCCTAAATCTAGTGAACTCAGTTAACTGACCGTTCAGACAGATAATCACTGCTTTTTGGTCCGTTGGTCACATGACTCCTCCTCCACCGTGCAGTGCCTGCGCCATCTTTGTTATTAGTCAGCTGCTGTGACAGCAAATCCCATAATGCTTTGCAAGGAGAGCTCTCTGTGCAAAGCATTGTGGGATATATCTGCCTCTTCTGAGGCCTTTCTTTTCTACTCATACTCTTCCGACCCTCGGCCATTTTCAAAGAACTGCGGTGAGAAAGGTGAGCTTCAATGACTGCCTGAAACCGTAGCTCACCACAGATATACGCCTGAAGGTGCGCAGAAAAAGACAGCTAACGGGACGAGCACGTAGGACGGCCTTACGTAAACGTATCACCAGAATGATTGACCGTTAGGAGGACCACTTATTTAGATGATCCATCCGGAAATAAAACATCCTCCAATATACGTTTAACTTAAAATGTAGAAACTTTCTGGTAAAATATGTTCGCTTTTATTATCCTGCTGCCTGCAGTTTGTAGCAAATACCTGAGAAACGCTAACATCTACTTCCAGCCGCCATGAACAGCAGGAGAAAACCCCTAAGAGGCGACCGGGCCTGAGGCAGCTGCTGTTGGGGATTCCCAGTGACGGCGCACCGCCGGTATGTGGGGGTCTGAGCGGCTCCCGCAGAGAAAAAATCTTTGAAGGCAGGATGGTAATCTGGATGAACTGACTGCACAGACCATGTTTTCAGATGGACTTTCTCACTTCAACATAGATTCAAACTACTTTTTGTTAAGTTGTAAGTAGCAGACTGTGCATGTATGAGATGTAAGGAATGGGAGGCGGGGCTAGATCTGGGTTTTCCCTTCTTCATTGTGTGGAATGAGGAGCGCGGGAGCGCATGTTGTAAACTGTTAATGGCGACCATTAAAGTGTGGATATTAACGTCAGCAGTGTGATTATTGAGCCAACATTGGTAGCAGAGGATGGCCGCTGCTGGAAATTACAAAGTTCCCCCACCGTTCGACGAGAAGACGTCTTACGAAAGTTGGAAAAATGAAATTGAAATCTGGAGACTTGTTACCGACTTGGACAAAAAGAAGCAGGCCCTGGCGGTTACCCTGTCGCTATCAGGAAGAGCGAGAGAAAGCGCGCTGGAAATCGCTGCGGAACATCTCAACGTCGATACAGGAATGAGTGTTCTTTTAGACAAGTTGGATTCAGTGTTTTTAAAAGAAGAAAAAGATCGACAGTACGAAGCTTACACGGAGTTTGACCGGATCGACAGACGCGGCGACACGTCCATGATGGATTACATTATCGAATTTGAACGACGGTACAACAAGTTACGTAAGTTCAAAATGGAACTACCGGATGCAGTGTTAGCATTCAAGCTATTAGACACCGCGGGGCTAAACGTTAAAGACAAACAGCTAGCTCTTACTGCCTGTTCCACTGTAACTTTTGACAACATGAAATCGGCTTTGAAAAGAATCTTCGGTGATAATGTCTATCCTCCACAAGAGGGCGACTCAGCCTTTTTCACCAAATACACAGGCAAGCGTGAACGGAGTTCAAACTCAGAGCAAAGCACAAGAACAGCTGCAGGGACTAATCCACTCGACAAATACGGGAGAAGAACTAAATGTGCAATATGTCAGAGCACTTTTCACTGGGCAAAAGACTGCCCCAATAAAAGAGAACATGTGAAGCTAACAAATGTTGAGGGATCAAAAGACAACGTTGAGGAATGTAATATTACTCTGTTTTCAGACGAATCCACATCTGACACACAGATCTTCATGGTAGAAGCTTTGGGATCTGCTGTGATTGACACTGCCTGTACAAGAACTGTGTGTGGTGAAAAATGGCTTGCAGATTATGTAAGTGGATTGCCTCAGAGAGAATTAATGAAGATTAAAGATGAAAAAAGTGCAAGACCTTTCCGGTTTGGGGATGGAAAACTGGTGCAATCCACAAGAAAGGTGACTATTCCTGCAACAATAGGAAAAACTAAATGCATCATTGAGACAGAAGTAGTTCCAGCAGATATACCGATGCTTTTGAGCAAAACATCACTGAAGAGAGCGAGTGCTGTTTTAGACATTGCTCAAGACAAAGCAATGATGTTTGACCAACCTGTAAAACTTGAACTGACATCTTCTGGACATTATTGTGTAAATTTAAGAAAGGAAAGGATCAATAATGAAAGCCAGTTTAAACAAAGTGAGACACCAAATGATGAAGATGAAATTCTCATTGTGACAGAAAACATGGCAACAAAAGAAAAAAAAACAGTACTGCTAAAGCTACATAAACAATTTGGACATGCCTCAGTTGACAGACTACAAAAGCTCTTATCTTGCTCTGGCAACACCGATGATGAAAGCATTACAATCCTGAAGGAAATTGTAAAAAACTGTGAAATATGCATCCGGTACAGTAGAGCAAAACCTAAACCTGCAGTGGGTGTACCCATGGCTTCAACGTATAATGAAACTGTAGCGATGGACTTACATGAGCTTGAGCCAGGTTTGTGGTATCTACATGCCATCGACCATTTTACAAGATTCAGTGCAGGGAGCATCATCACCACAAAAAGACCCAAAGAGATAGTGAAGCACTTTATTCACTGCTGGATAAGCGTTCATGGCCCACCACGCAGATTATTCACTGACAATGGAGGTGAATTTAACAACGAAGAAATAAGAGACATGGCTGAACATTTTAACATTGAGGTTAAAGCCACTGCTGGATACAGTCCATGGAGCAAAGGCCTACTGGAAAGACACAATCAGATTCTCACTGAAATGCTACTCAAGGTAAAGAGAGACAACAAATGTGACTGGAAAATGGCTCTGGACTGGGCTTTGATGGCAAAAAACAGCATGCACAATGTACATGGCTACAGTCCATATCAACTTGTTTTTGGTCAAAACCCAAACCTGCCTTCAGTTCTAATTGATAGACCTCCAGCATTGGAAACTGATGTCAACACATGGATGGGTCATCACACTGCAACACTGCATGGCATGAGAAAAGCCTTTGCTGAGGCTGAATGTTCTGAGAGGATCCGAAGAGCCCTCCGAAAACAGCTGCGACCCACAGATGACAAATATGAAACAGGAGACAAAGTCTATTGTAAACGTACAGACTGTCAGGAGTGGAAAGGGCCAGGTGTGGTTATTGGCCAAGATGGTGTAGTAATATTCGTCAGGCATGGTGGAACGTATGTCAGAGTACACCAGTCTAGGCTGAGAAAAATGAATGAGACACAAGAGAAACTAGGGGAAAGCGAAAGCAAAAATCCATTTAAAACGGATGACCACTTTTCAAAGACACCAGCAGCGGTACTTGATGAAGAACATGACTTTGAAAGTGAACATGAGGAGGAGATGGCACCAACAAGCAATGAATCACTTGGTGTTGCAGAAAACAGTGAATCCTCCTGTGATCCAGTACAACCTGAAGGGGATGGTCTTCCACTGACACACACAACTGTAAGTGAAGGAATAAAACTAAAAGCTGGACAAGGAATTAAATTTACAGACAAAGAAACAGGTCAAAAATATGCTGGAAAAATAACAAGCCGTGCAGGGAAAGCCAGTGGGAAACACAAAAACTGGTACAACCTAGAATATACTGAGCCAGAGGAAATTGCTGGATCTACAGGATCCATTGATATGGGACAAGTAAGCAACCTTGAAGTGGTTGAAAATGTCAAGACCAATACTTACAACAGAGATGAAATATTAGTAGTGAACGAGGATATTTTCTCACACGCTAAACAAACTGAACTTGAGAACTGGAAAAGAAACAATGTATTTGTGGAGGAAAAAGATGAAGGTCAGAAATGCATATCAACGAGGTGGGTGTGCACACTCAAGAAAACACAAGTAGACATAGTACCCAAAGCAAGACTGGTTGCAAGAGGCTTTGAAGAAATTAACATTCAAGAACTTCCTAAGGATTCACCCACTTGTTCCTCTGAATCTCTAAAGATGGTTATAGCTGTTATATGCCAAAATAAATGGAAGCTGAACTCTATGGACATCAAAGCAGCCTTTTTGCAAGGTAAAGATTTAACACGGGATGTGTATCTCTGTCCGCCTCAAGAGGCAGAGAGCGAAGGAATCGTATGGAAATTAAATAAATGTGTCTATGGCCTGGCAGATGCTTCCTTGTTCTGGTACAACAAGGTGAAAGAAACCATGCAGAAGCTGGGAGGAACTGTGTCAAAAGTTGATCCAGCTGTCTTCTACTGGCAAGATGATTTCTGTAAGGTGACAGGAGTTCTTGCATGCCATGTAGATGACTTTGTATGGGGTGGTTCAGACATGTTTTCTTCAGCTATTATCCCCCAACTGAAAACTGCTTTTCAGGTTGGAAGAGAAGAACATAACAGCTTCAACTACATTGGAATGGAGGTTCATTCTCTGCAGAATGAAATCAGAGTAAAACAGCGTGCATACATTAAAAACCTACAGCCCATTCCTATGGATCCCATCAGAGCACCACAGCGGGAGGCTCCATTAACAGACACAGAAATGGACATGTTAAAATCCAAGATTGGACAGATTCTGTGGGTAGCAAGACAGAGCAGACCTGACATCATGTGTGACGTATCTATCTTGGCGTCAAACACAAAACATGGTACAATTCAAACATTACACTCTGCAAACAAACTGATCAGAAAACTTAAATCTGAGGAAGTTACCCTTAGATTCCAATGCTTGGGAGACAGCAAATACCACAAGCTAGTGGTGTTCAGCGATTCCTCAATGGGAAATCTCTCAGATGGAGGGACACAAGGAGGACATTTTGTCATGCTGATGGGAGAAGATGGAAAATTTTCACCCATATGCTGGCAATCCAGACGGATTAGGAGAGTGGTACGTAGCACGTTAGCTGGAGAGACTTTAGCACTAGCAGATGGAATTGATAGTGCTGTCTTTGTTGCTACACTCTATTCAGAGCTCATGGTTGGTGATGGCACGCGCAACATCTTACCCATTACCTGTGTAACGGACAACCATTCCCTCCTTGATGCTGTCAAATCCACAAAATGTGTAACTGAAAAGAGACTCCGGCTTGAGATCAGCAGCATCAAAGAACTTATGGGTTCTGGGACAATCCAAGAAATTATATGGACACCTACCAAAGACCAACTTGCCAACTGCCTAACAAAAGTGGGGGCGTCTGCCCTTGGACTGCTGAGAGCCCTAAGTGAAGGGAAATGGCAACTTAAAGATTAAAACAAACAAAAAGACTATTGTTCCTTACAGAAGTTAAGTTCAAGTAAATGGAGTTAAAATAAGTAAAGTTAGAATGCTAAAATTTCTTTAGCCTGTTATGTGTTCTTTAAAGAAAGAGGGGAGATTGTTAAGTTGTAAGTAGCAGACTGTGCATGTATGAGATGTAAGGAATGGGAGGCGGGGCTAGATCTGGGTTTTCCCTTCTTCATTGTGTGGAATGAGGAGCGCGTGAGCGCATGTTGTAAACTGTTAATGGCGACCATTAAAGTGTGGATATTAACGTCAGCAGTGTGATTATTGAGCCAACACTTTTTACCCACTGATCACAGCAAATATAGCAAAGCCACTCTCTGGCATTGAACACAGGAGCAGCAGAAGCATCAGACGCATCTGGACACACTTTACTGGATGTTTGACCTTAATGTGGACGAGCAGCAGAAATGAAGCAGCAGGTTTTTTGCTGCTGAAATCGCAGTGTGAAAGTAGCATTAGGTGGAAAAAACCTGCTGCAGAATCCTCATCAGACGTTTGAAGCAAAGGTGCTTAAACCGCCGTTCAGGAGGAGAAGGAAAACCTCCTAGCAGCAGATGTAAGGTCTGCTGCTCCAGGCTGTTTCTGGGAAGTCTGGGAAGCTGCCGTGTTTCTGCGATCCAGGATTCATGAGAGGACCCGGGTTTAACATCGCCGCTGAATCCGCTCACCTGCTATGATTTATATTTGATTTCCAGGGCTCGTACCCACAATGATTGACAATTAGGAGGACCACTTATTTAGATGATCCACCCAGAAATATTTTTTTTTTACCCTTTATGGGGAAAGATACCTTTTTTTTAATCACTTGCAAACCCCTTACAATTTTTGTGATTCTATAACCAAAGGTTGTACATCTTTAAATGCATCTGCTGTTGAATTTCACTTTTCGTTTAGACGAATTAGGGGTTTCAGTTAAACAGTCCACTTATATAATTATATTTTTTCTTCACTCTCTGGATATTTAGTGTATTTAGGGTTAATGTTATGTCATTAAAGCCCCTTGAGGGACAGGAGTTGAGGATTACCCATGACTATAAACACTGTGATGCAGGAATCGAGATTTTTTAAATTATCACCTTTGCTTATTGTATCGATTGCTGTCAAATAAAACAATAAAACCACAGAGACAGTTATCAGTTGCGTTTTTCCTGGTTACAGAGACCTTTTGCTCTACTCTAACTAGGTGTTCATCTAATTTATTTTTTCTTTTCAGAGCACAGCTGAGAAAATCTAGAGCAGGACGATAATGACTGCTCACAGCTCTCCAGCAGAACACAGGATTGAAAATGCAGCTATGCGTTAAGATGATGTTTTATAAGGAGAAATAAAAAGAAACAGATCGTCAGATATTGTCTATGTAATGATAGAAGAGTTTCCATCTGGGATAAAAGAAAAACGAGTGCAGAAAGATGCAAAGAAAAACAACTGACTGTCTGCATGTGAGCACCGTTACACCATCCGCAAACATTGCCTTTGAGTGCAGAAGCTGTTACTGAGAGAAGACAGGAAGTCAGAGGAAGAAAGGGGATGTAAGACATGTTTTTATCGTAAAAATGTCAGAAACATGTTGGCTTTTCCTCCTCAGAAGGTTCTGCCTTCATCTGTAGCAAACCAAGAAGAAGTATTTTCCTTCATAGTTTTAGGGGGAAATATATCCATGTTATTAAAGGGAAAGTCCAGTCAGCCAGGAATAATCAGTGGATCATTATTTATGCCTAAAACTATTACATTCGCAGTGATTTAATAAATTTAGTATAAAAATTAAAACATTGCGATCACTGAGTCTGGGAGAGGCCATTTTTGCCCAAATATAGTAACCCTTCCCTCCTGCCATCTTACAGCAGTGACGTCACGGTGCGGTAAGCCTAGCGCCATTCTCCCCGCTTTACAAGCAAAATCAATGGGAACTACTAGACACATCTGCAATCAACAACAATTATTGAAGATTTCCAGAACACTACACCATTGAAATTCACCAGAGCTATAGTGAAACTGACAATGCCCACGTGCATGGCAGCTGGATGCTGGAATACATCGGGTAAAAGTGATAAAAAAATAGTTAGTTCACCTTTCTGATTCCTGATCCTCCACGGACGGGTTGGTCGTTGCATCGCCAACTTGAAGAGGGAGGATTTGCTTTTAAACTTCTGTAATATGTAGCCAACATTTGGAAGAAGAATGTTTTCAAGATGACTTGGATAAAAGTGCGTTGTGACAAACACCAGATACAGCACTGGGACTTGATCAACAGCCGATACCGCACCGTGACGTCACAAACCAGTAGGTGGCAGTAGTGTTCTTTGACAAACATGGATGCCTCTAGTAAAGCACATTCAAATGAAAATGACTCTGAATTAAAAACACTGATCATTTATTGAACAGTAATTTCAGATTTAAAGAACTTTCCGAAGTTTGAATTCTGAATATGAGCGGACTTTTCCTTTAATAACTTAAAGCTAACGAGGACCCCACCCGTTAAGGAATGACAGAAATCACAGCACTTCAGTCCGCTTTAGTCCTAAAGCTGCGGCTGACAAGCAGCTGAATTACAGTTAAAAAGACGTCTTTTCTTCTTCACTTTGAAACTTTTCTAATTTCCTGCCATCCTCTGCCTCCCCATGCCTCTGATCTTTTTGTGGACTCAGAGCTAATTGATCGCTGCAGCTCTCCTTATTATTCATGTACAATTACAGATGTGATAATGTGCTTAAATCCTTCTAAATGACCGTTCATGCCTCTCAGTTGCTTTGAAGTCTCATCCAAGTCCAAAAAATCTGCAGAAAAAAGGGAAAACACAAAGGCCAATCAGAGGAGCAATCTGCATAAACCAATCAGAGGAGAAGGGGGAGGACGAGGGGCGCTGCGTCCTCTGCCTCCGCCCTTTATTTTTATGGAATATCAACTAAAGTCCATTAATTTTTTAAGCTGTATTTAATACATTTTGTTCTGAAAGTTTGGAGCTGTGAGTGCCGGGTGTTCCAGCTGACTGCATGAATATTAATGATGGTGTTACGATGATTAAAGAGGCTTCGAGTCAAATCCAACACAATCCGCCTGTGATCCGGCCCGCCGTCGCCACACTGCCACCACGCCGCACATGAATTTAGATATGGACATTAAGCCAAGCAGAGACACCCCCCCCCACAGTCCGCACTCCACATACATGTATATGAGGAGAGCAGCGAGTGTTCAGTAACTATGATGCACAACATAAATGGCACAGCTTCATGCCTCCGCTTCCTCCTCTTCATCAGATCAGCCAATGAGAAGAGAAGTAGACCAGGCAGCCATTTTCAGCTGCATATGAGCATTTAAAGCAATCCGTTTAGGGGTCGTGGTCTGATTCCAGCTTCTATGACACGGTCCTGATGGAGACGTCCCATTTAAAGCTCAGCGATAGCGATCTGGCTGCAGGTTGGCCATCATAACTAAAGGTGTGAGAAAAAGGATTCTTCATGGCAGTGGCGGATCTAGATCAAATGTACCAGGGGGCCAGGAGGGGGCCAGAGTGTTTTCATGGGGGCCCAGAAAAGCATGAAATAAAAAACAGAGCAAGGAATTCAGATATATTAAGAGAGATGCATGAAGTGAAATTTCTATCCAATTAGGTTTAATTAAAATTCTATTTCTCATGAGGTCAATATATGTTTATAATTTAGGTATTTTACATATTTGTGACTGAATTTAAGTTAAAATTACCGTTTTCTATTAAATCTGAACTAGAACTCAAGAAAAACTGATAAATTCACCTGTTAAGATTAGAGCAATTTTTTTCTTATTATTTAAGAGATGAAAACTGGGGTCCTATCTCAATCCTACTGAAGCTATCACCTTATTGTTTTTAAATAATTAGTAAAACAGAATTTGTAAAAGAAAAAAATGAAATAGATTCAAAGAACCTAGTAACCATGTCTATTCCAGCGCATCATCATTAGAATTTCTTTGAGTATTCTGTCTTCAGTTCAGGGGCCATAACAGGACATGATCTACAGGGGCACTGGGCCCCGTTGGCCCCTGTCTAGAACCGCCCATGCTTTATGGGGATCCCTTCAAAAACTTTAATGGACATGAGGACGTCAGTTTTGGAGAGAGGTGGGACAGGCAGGGAGGTCCTTTGGTCCAAGGCTCATGATGGCCACAGCTCCAGTTGGACTGATGACCAAGGAGGCGGAGCCTGGAAACGTAGGAACGTTCTTACAGCAGCTAACTGACTGTCCATGTCAGGAGCAGCTCATTTACGGCAGAGCTCCACAGCTTCCCTTTCTAATTAGACGAGCCCTGACCTGCAGTATGCTGGCAGCAGAGTTAAGGTCGGGCCCCATGGCGCCACTCGGCACTATTACAACATTTTAGCATTCGTACGCTATGGCCTTAATTATCCGCATTGCACATCCTGGAAAATATTAAATCTCAGGCAGTTCTGTGTCTGAAAACACGGTGAACCAGCGTCAATTCCTCCTGGGGATGGTTCAAATATAAACATGCAAACAGGGCTGGAAGTTTCTTCTGGATGGCGAGTTCTCCATTGAGTTTTTTTTTTCTTTCCAGCCAGAAGAAACAGATTCTTCCAGAAGAAACTTTGAAGGTCAAATTTACTGGAAGGTTTTGTTTCTTTTGATGAATATTTTGCCCCAATCAGGCCCAGATCCAGTACTAACCCGTAGGTGGGGTTCAATATTTATAAACCAGGGGTGTTTGGGGGCAGGAATAGCAGAAGAAGTGAAAGGAATAGAAAACCAGCTGGTGGAATCTGAGTTTTCCAACCATTTAAAGGCTATTAGTAAATTATCACTTCTGTATTAAATATGTAATCCCCTGATGGGTTTTCTCTGCTGGGTTTTTGTGTCACTGTGTGTATTCTCATACAGAGTTCTCCTCGTGTAGCCTGGTGGATATAGTAAGTTGACTTTTCAATAGAACTATCAGATTTCTTCAAAATATGATGTACTACCAGAATCACAAATGGCCAAGCTCCATCTGATATCAGAGATCTGATTGTTCCTTATGTTCCTAACAGAGCACTTTGCTCTCAATCTGCAGGTTTACTAGTGGTTCCTAGAATTTCTAAAAATAGAATGGGAGGCAGATCTTTTAGTTATCAGGCTCCTCTCCTGTGGAACCAACTACCAGTTTTAGTCCGTGAGGCAGACACCCTGTCTACTTTTAAGGCTAGGCTTATAACTTTCCTTTTTGATAAAGCTTATAGTTAGAGTGGCTCAGGTTATCCTGAGCTATCTCTATAGTTATGCTGCTATAGGCTTAGACTGCTGGAGGACATAGGGACTCCTTTTTCATCATTCTGCTTCATTCTATCTCTCTGCAGTATCTGTTAGTTGAATTTCTAATATTCTGCTCTCTCTGCTTTTTCTCATAGTAGCTTCATCTGGTCTGTTCCTGTTTGCCTGGAGAGAAATATCAGCTGTGCTGCTGCCATCAACACCTTTGTTTCTAGATGTTGGAGCTTGGCCTGTTTTTCAGTGTACAGGTGCTGGTCATAAAATTAGAATATCATGAAAAAGTAGATTGATTTCAGTAATTCCATTTAAAAAGTGAAACTTGTATATTATATTCATACATTACATACAAACTCATATATTTCAGATGTTTATTTTGTTTAATTTTGATGATTACAAATTACAACAAATGAAAATCTCAAATTCATCATATCAGAAAATTTGAATATTGTGAAAAGGTTCAAAATTGATGGCCCCTGGTGCCACACTCTAATCAGCTAATTAACTCAAACCACCTGCAAAAGCCTTTAAATGGTCTTTCAGTCTAGTTCTATAGGCTACACAATCATGGGGAAGACTGCTGACTTGACAGTTGTCCAAAAGACGACCATCGACACCTTGCACAAGGAGGGCAAGACACAAAAGGTCATCGCTAAAGAGGCTGGCTGTTCACAGAGCTCAGTGTCCAAGCACATTAATAGAGAGGCGAAGGGAAGGAAAAGATGTGGTCGAAAAAAGTGTACAAGCAAGAGAGATAACCGCACCCTGGAGAGGATTGTGAAACAAAACCCATTCAAAAATGTGGGGGAGATTCACAAAGAGTGGACTGCAGCTGGAGTGAGTGCTTCAAGAACCACCACACACAGACGTATGAAAGACATGGGTTTCTGCTGTCGCATTCCTTGTGTCAAGCCACTCTTGAACCACAGACAGCGTCAGAAGCGTCTTGCCTGGGCTAAAGAGAAACAGGACTGGACTGCTGGTGAGTGGTCCAAAGTCATGTTCTCTGATGAAAGTAAATTTTGCATTTCCTTTGGAAATCAAGGTCCCAGAGTCTGGAGGAAAAGAAGAGAGGCACTTCATCCACGTTGCTTGAAGTCCAGTGTAAAGTTTCCACAGTCAGTGATGGTTTGGGGTGCCATGTCATCTGCTGGTGTTGGTCCATTGTGTTTTCTGAGGTCCAGGGTCAACGCAGCCACATACCAGGAAGTTTTAGAGCACTTCATGCTTCCTGCAGCTGACCAACTTTTTGGAGATGCAGATTTCATTTTCCAACAGGACTTGGCACCTGCACACAGTGCCAAAGCTACCAGTACCTGGTTGAAGGACCATGGTATCCCTGTTCTTAATTGGCCAGCAAACTCTCCTGACCTTAACCCCATAGAAAATCTATGGGGTATTGTGAAGAAGAAGATGCAATACACCAGACCCAACAATTCAGAAGAGCTAAAAGCCACTATTAGAGCAACCTGGGCTATCATAACACCTGAGCAGTGCCACAGACTGATCGACTCCATGCCACGCCGCATTGCTGCAGTAATACAGGCCAAAGGAGGCCCAACTAAATACTGAGTGCTGTACATGCTCATACTTTTCATGTTCATACTTTTCAGTTGGCCAACATTTCTATAAATCCTTTGTTTTTATTGGTCTTCAGTAATATTCTAATTTTCTGATATGATGAATTTGAGATTTTCATTTGTTGTCATTTGTAATCATCAAAATTAAACAAAATAAACATCTGAAATATATGAGTTTGTATGTAATGTATGAATATAATATACAAGTTTCACTTTTTAAATGGAATTACTGAAATCAATCTACTTTTTCATGATATTCTAATTTTATGACCAGCACCTGTAGTCCTGTTTCTCTGACTGTGACTAACTGGATGTGCTCTCTTCATCCTCTGACATGGGAGCTGGCTCGGAGCTCGTTTGCCTGGCTGTGTGTTTCCTGGACGGGGTTGCCTGTGGAGCTTGTTGACAGTTGTCTTTTGTATCTATGCTTCTTTTTCTATCTCTGCTTCTGTCTCCTTGAACCCCAGTCGGCCTCAGCAGATGACCGCTCACACTGAGCCTGGTTCTGCAGGAGGTTACTTCCTGTTTAAATGGAGTTTTTCCTCTCGACTGTCGCTACAAACATGCTTAGTGTGAGGGATTGCTGAAGAGTCAGTGAGTCGATGTAATCAGCTGGTTTTCCTTAGATAGAAAACTTTGAATCAATCTGACTGGATGATCTGATGAAGTGCATTGAGATGACAAGATGTTTAATTGGCGCTATAGAAATAAACTCAATTGAATTGATAGATTAAAATTTTCCTAAAAACTAACACAAACAAATAAAGCTCAAGTAGGAAATGAATGATGGCAACAAAAGAAAAAAGGCTAAAAATCCTCTTTTAGTTGATAAAAACCTTTCAGGAGGAAAAACAGACTGAGGTTTTTCTGTGCTTGTATTTTCAAATGTTAAATTAACGAGGGGGGAGAAGATGGTGGAACCCACTGGTCTTCAGCTCAAGGTCACATCACACTGCAAAAACAATCCAGAAATAAGTAAAAAATGGCTTAAATTAAGTATATTTAGCCTTAATTTGAGCAGGTAAATAAGATGATTTGCCAATGGAATGAGTATTTTTACTCTTAAAATAAGATAGTTAGATAATATTTACTTGAAATAAGACGATAAAATTGTTTTTTCTTATTTTAAAAGGAAATTGTCTTGTTCCATTGGCAAAGTGTCTTACTTACCTGCTCAAATCAAGGAAAAACACACTTATTTTAGGAAAAAATAACTTATTGAGATTTCTATTTTTTGCAGTGCATGGAGCTGAAACTTTTCTACTTATTCAGTGAAGTTCTCAGATCCTGCAGTGACGTGTCCATCCTTTAGAATCAGTTTATTATTATCATCTAGTCCAACTTTGATCTTATCTAAATAAACATTATTTTGGTTAGTTCACCATAAAACGTTTGAAGATTAATAAATATTAGCTATAAAAACAAACCCAAGTTAAATAACATCTATTATTATCGAACTTTAAAGCTAAATAAAAATCTAATGCTGTTGTTTATCAGGGAAAACTCTTTTCATGGAGATCAGGCCTGCATGTAGCCTCCATAAACACTAAGATCCCGTTTTTACTTCAGCTTTGAGAGCATCCCGGTTCCTGACGCTGTCGGGGGGGAAACTCTGCCGTGTTCAGAGTGGATGTTATAGCTCAGCACTGCTCCAGAACAGGCCCATTCTCCGTTCCCGTTCAACGTGAAAGCTGAACCACAGACACCTCTGACACCTCTGCTGAGGACCGGACAGCAGCAGCAGTCCTTAAGGAAACCAGCGAGCAGCTCTGAGCGGGACGGACCAGGGGTCAAGGTTCAACTTTGAGTTCTACAATGAATAGAAGTCAGGGAAACGCTCTGAAAAGGAGAGCGGGGGTGTTTGTATTTGTAGACCACCCACTTAGCAGATCAAAGACTGTTCGCACAATCGTCTCCTCCCTCTCCTCGTATTCACTCTTCTGCCTGCTTCGGTCAACACTTTAAATCCCCAACACTCTGTGTGTTGGTGTGTGTGGGGGTGTAACCCTTGGATAAGTCAGAACTCATCAAAGGTCCGACACTTTTAAAGCCGACTTCAGATTATTAGACTTTATCGTGTCGGCTACTCTGACCGCCATCAGAACACTTAGGAGCAAGTCTTTCAAACCAACCGTATCCGCCATGAGTATCGGATCCCATTACGGGCCGCGTTCCTGGATACTGAAAATGTTATAGATGTATAGATATAGATATTACCCAGCCAGGATAGATGAGGTTGGGTTCAGAAGAAGCTTTTTAAGCTTGCAGAGCTCTGGGCTGGTCTACATCCGCTACCAGGATCCGAACTGGAAGCCCAATTCATACTGGATTAAACCTCAGGCAGTGCTGCTGAATGCCGGAGGTAAAATCAAAGTTGGTGTTTGTTTTGTCATGGCACCGCAACTGTAATGCAGCACAGACTTGTGGGTATTTAAATGAACACAGCAGAAATATTGAGATACAGTCTATATTTTCTCATCAGTGTATCTAATATAGAACTTCAACCTACTAATTTTACAAATAGATGAATCTGTTGATTATTATTTCAATTAATGGATTAATAATCAGATAGCCAAAGGTTCCTTAAAGATTTTTTACTAAATTAAACCAGGTGAAACTAAAACTTTTTAGTCGATCTGAAAAAAGCAGATTGACAGACTTAAATGCAAAATATTGATATATATTGTTAGTTTTCTTATAATTCCTGCTCTAAATGGGTCGCTCTGTCAGCAAAAGGCACGTTTTACAGTCTATACTACAGTTAAGGATTAATTGATTACTAAATTAGTTGGAGACTATTTCAATAATTAGATTAGATTAGATGAGCTTTATTGATCTCAAAGCGGAGAAATTCACTGGTCACATATTGGCATAGTAATTAAAGAAGGTGAAAACAAGGAGGAAAAAGGTGCATTAAGAATAAACAATATATATACAGTATATCAAGATAAATAATGTATGAATGCTGATTGTTTCAGCCCTAATCTAACGACATTTTAGAAATATTTGCTTTAAAAACTGAGCACATAAAACCCAGATTAGAATATTGATGTCTGGTGAAATGTTGAGACCTTTACTGAATGAAATAATTTATTGTTCACTATGATCTAAGCATCCTTCACCAGATTCTATCAATAAAAGGCGTCCATCTGCATCAGTGCACCAGCAGGTGTGTGCATTTCTAAAGGGAAATATTAAAAAAGCTGTGAAACAGAAACCTGGTTGTTTGGGAGGTGAAACAATGTTTAAAGGCTGAAGTTAGCGCCCCCTAGTTCCTACCAAACACACAGCGGGCCCCTGGTTTACTCTCATCATCATATTTGGAAAAAAGCCTGGGCTTGGAGCCCTGAACTACCTGTGGCTGCAGTTAGAGCAGAACCAGCGCCGTATAAAGGAGCACAGCGCCCCTTAATGGACAGACTATGATATTACCGCTCCAATGAAAAGGTGCTGGCCTTTACCTTTGTACATGTCCACCAGGGAGTCCCTGAGCTCCTTCTTGGAGGTCCATGGTGAAGGACTGGAGACTTTTTGATCCTCGAAACTCTTTTCTCTGGAAACAGAAAACATGCATCAGACGGGCTGTCCTTCACAGCTGGAACCTGTGAATCAAAGTTAAACTCCACGTCACATTTCAGCCCCGCAGGAAATAATCCGAGCGGACCTTCAGAGCACCTGACTGAAGCTGAGATGGTCAACCGCGGCCTCCTCTCTCCTGTTCAGCACAGAGTGAGTGATCCAGAGACAGAAAGTGGTTTGGGACAAACAGGTCAGACCAGTTCAGCTTCCAGTTAGACTGGTCACACTGGGGAGCCGTGCATGTAATCAGTGGCTCCTTACTGGCTGCTGAAGCTGGACCAGTCGGACTAAAATCAATCGGTCCAGTTTTTCCAAAGGTTTCAGCATTCAGTTGGTCTCTGCGACCTGTTCAGAAGATCTGGACCAATATCTGATTTTATTGCTGTTATGACCGATCAGTGATATTTACCGATATCAGTTTCCTGCCCTGAAAGGCTGCCCAGCCACATGAAACTGCTTCTGCTTTAAAAAGCCACAGTCCTGAGTCACAGCACAGGACCCCCCCCCCCCCTTTTGAAACTACAACAGCCTCTACATGGAAATAAACATCAGCTTTAAATATCGGACCAAAACCAAGACGCTTTTTGTTTTGTTTTCTCCATCGTCCAAAGCCAGCCAGGCAGCGGTTTAAAGGGTTTCTACTGATGGGTAAGAAGAAGGCAGACCTGCCCCTCCCCAACATGTTGCTTCTTACTACTGGGCAGCCACTTTACCTTTGCTCACATGAAAGAGGAACTTGGAAATATTTCTGGTAGAGAAAAACATGAAGAGCAATATGACAGAAACTGGAAGAGCGCCCCCTCAGGTCAGGTTGATTAGGCTGATTCATTTTCCAGGTGTTTAAGGCTACAAAGCCAAATGTCTTTCTGCACCAGAGAAACTCCTGCAGGATCTGTTCAGGGTTCCTGCTCTTATTCTTTTAGGTTATTGGAATCTCAACCAGTTTGTGAAATTTTTCTTCCTAGACCTGCTGAAAGGCCCTGTGTCGTTTCCACCCTCCTCTCCTGAGCAGTCATTGCTGACAGCAGTCCGTTCCTGAATGTTTAGAAAGCATCACCGATATTTTGACCTTTCTGACCTCATATGTCAGTGAGTTCTATCCGTGGAGCGGCTGATGTTCAGTTAATTCATCATGCGGTCCTAGTTGGAAGGCCGTTCAGGCAGAAGCAGTGAGGATGCAACCTGTAACGGCGCTGCTCTGTCTGATGAAGCAGCCATTTTAGAAGCTGCTTCGTTCACATTATGATTTACTTAAAATGAATATAGGTATTATTTAGAAATTCCCTGAACAAGGTTGTTAATAATTGCTGTGCGCCGCTATTGGCTGTTGGGTCAATTTAAGGGATGTGCTAGAATTGATCACTGCAAAAATGATTGAGAAAAATAAAGTACAAATTTCTTAAGTGTATTTACCTGATTTGAGCAGATAAGATGATTTACCAATGGAATTAGTATTTTCAACTCTTAAAACAAGATTAGATAATATGCACTGGAAATAAGACAATGAAATGATTTTTTTTCAATAGTTTTTAATTCAAATGTAAACTGTCTTGTTCCATTGGCAACAGGTCTCACTTACCTCCTCAATTCAAGAAAAGGATTACATTTTAAAGGAAAAAAATGACTTAGATTTCCAATTTTTTTGCAGAGATGAAGAGAACAGTAGTTCTGGTTCTTAAAGGTGTTCAAATTTCTTTCTCCTTTCTAAACGCCACCAACCGGCTGCTTTGTTGGGGAGATGATGACCTAAATGTTCTCGGTGTTCATACCCATCAGCGGTGGCTTCTGTAATCAGAACCGAGCTGCTCACAGAACCACAGAACGGATCAGATCGCTTTCAGCTTCTTACTCCAGCTGCTGCTGCAGATCGCAGATCTTCCTCCTGGCCTTCTGCAGAGCCACCTGGACATCCACAGATCTGCTCCTGTGACCCACAGACGCCATTACACCCAACAGAGGTCTACATGGTAACCGCCCCCAAACATCCCAGAATACCACTTCCAGGTCACCCAGAGAAGCTGTGAGGGAGGGGCTGAGCGCCGGCAGGAGGTTAAATATTAACGAGCCGATCCGACACTGAGGCAGAGCTGCTGCTGCTGCTCACGGGTTCAGACTCATTTCCTGTCCTGCTGCTGGCAGCATTCAGACCAAGCTCAGCCTTAGGTTCTGGTCTAACCCAAAACTGGGTCCACCGCACCTCCATGGGTCCTAATGTGCTGGTTTCTATGGTTACAGGTCAGACTAAAGCAGTTTTCTATCAAAACCAGCAGAGCTCCTGCAGCGTCTCTCGGATCAGAATGTCCAGTATTCGCTTTATTGAACTGGGAGCAGCCAGAGGGTCCCAACCAGGACTGTGTGTTCTAGGTTAGGTTCTAGGAACCGTAGGAACTAAGACAGCGCAATATGTGCAGAAATATGCAAACCAGACGAGCAGCACAACTGAACTTTACAGAAGACAATGACAGCTGATGGAGCAGAGGCCTTTATTGAAGCTTCAACAGAGGAGATCTTCATCACAGGTTCTGCTTCTCCACATCCTGAAGCAGTTTGTCCAGCAGCGCGGCATCCACACCGTGTTTCATCACAAACCGGCCGTTCAGGTGGAACACCGGGATGTCCCACTTGTACTTTTCCCACCACTGCCTGTTTTCTGGAAGACTGATGTCCACCTGCTGCAGGACGAACTGGAGAGAGACAGACGCCATGTCAGCACAAACCCAGAGAGGAGCTACAGAGGGTGGCGCTGAGTGACGGTGTCAGGTTTGTTAGGGTGGAGGATGCTACGCTACGCTCACCATGAAACCAGAAGGACCAGATGCATGGAGCCCGTTTACAGGCAATAACCCCAAGTCCTCGTAGATATTCACCAGGTTGCCCTGGTTACCACACACACAGGGATGGAGCTACAACCATGGTGGCCATGTTGGATTTAAAGGGAACATATTAAGAATCTATATAGCTTATTAATAATTTCAAATAGTTTATTTTGGTCTGCAATCCAAGTCTCTGAATGTCTGGAAATGTCATATTCTTCAGTCTGTTCAGTTATTTTCTATTCCGTCACCCATTCGCTATGAAACTGTTGAACTTCCTGTTTACATTCCAACAAATCCACCATGTTTTTTCTCTCGAGGTGTTTCTGTAGTCCAAGCTGAAGGATGTCCAAGCAACAGCTGTATAAACCTCAACATTCGCTTATAGTTCGGCCGTCACGCCGTCCCCCAGCATCAGGACCTCCCTTCAGTCCCTGGTTACATTTCCTGTTCATGGAAACGTACGAACGTCAGCGGGGAAAGACTTCTTGGTTCATGCGAAGCCTCCAGGACTTCGGCTTCAGCAGCCTCGGCTAAACCTTCTGCAGAACCAATGGACTCAGCAAAGCAGTGAACCAGCTGGCTGCAGTTCTGAAAGCTTTTAGCTCCCTGAGGAGTTGTTCCCGCGCTAGCGTTAGCTAGCTCATTAACTATTTGGGGTGTGATCAAGTCCTCTCACGCAGACCCTCTGCTAGGTCACTGGGTTGTAGGGATGGAACGGTTTATGAAAATCGTCCGAACCGTTCGGTTCGACTGTCTCGGTTCGGTTCGTGTGTGTTTCGTTCGGTTCATGCGCTGCTCCTTTTTCTCATAGAGGAAGCGATTACACTCCAGAGCAGAAGGTGGCGGTACTGCGACCAAAGCCAACTACCAGTAGTAAACAAGAAGAAGAAGAAGCAAAGCAGCGTAGCCGGGTGTAGCAGAAAAAAATCAGTTGTTGTGGAGAATTGTGTGAGTATGGCGAGTGGGAAAGAACAGGAGTTGGAAGACGCGCCACAAGCACTTTATAGGTCTGCTGTATGGGACCACTTTGCATTTAGAGTGACCTACGATGACGGCGGAAAGAAAGTTGTGGATAAAAGTGCAACAGTGTGCAAGCATTGTGCAACACGTTTTGTTTATGCTAACAGCAAAATGACCAACATGTTAGGCTAACAATCAACATATACCGAACCAAACTGAAAACCGTGACCACGAAACCATGAACCAAACCGAACCGTGGATTTTGTGAACCGTTCCACCTCTACTGGGTTGGTTCGCTCTGTAGCTTCCAGCTAAATACATCAGATATACGGCCGACACATCACAACCGTAAAACACCTTACAAATTTCGTTTCAAGGAAGAAGAAGCTGGAAGGGCACTGAAGTGTCTAAATCATGCTTATGCTTCTGAGTTCATTCAGCGAGTGACTGGAGCTGTAGGAAGGAAAGCAGAGGTAGTTTTGGTGCCGAGGTTCTGACTATCCCAACGATCCGCCCTACCTGCACGCACAGACTGATAGCACGTCTCGGGTACCAAATAAATCATATGGACTCACTACGGTAGGATTTCTGACACCAATATATGCGTTTTGGGTCGAGCGAGTTGGCAACGCTACCTGTTGTGCCTGTTCTTCACTGATGTCCACAGTGATGGAGTCCATCTGCTATAAGGAGTCTTACCTGGACATCGTACTGCTCTGCGAGTTGTGGAGAGCACGGACCTCCTTAGGATAACCCAACTGCCTGTTGTGGAAACGGGGGAATCACAGTAACAAATAGACAATTTCTCTGGAAGTCTATTTCCTTCAGAAAAATGGTCTAAGCTACAGACTATGGGGTCCCTTAGCCACAGGTGCTGCGGTAGCCTGTGGCTAAGGGACCCTGTGTTCCATAGATGTGTTCATCCAGATGGCTGCTGCTTACACTATAAGAAAGTGTGTTATTAAAAGGCTCGAATAGGGATAAGGTCTGAGAACTAAGCTTCTACCGAGGGACATTTGTTTTGGAGTTAGGGGCATAGTTGATGACTTTCTACCAGCACACGTTTCTTTAGCCGTCTCTGCTCTGCCTGCTTAGCGTGTTTTCATTCCCCGTTGTTAAAGCTGATTGTTTCCTTTGAGCCGCTGTCAGAGACTGTTTGCCGGTCAGTAGAGCTCAGCTTATAGGCGGAGAAATTAAAAACACACTGAGCAGCTTCAGGCTGTAGCCGTCTGTCCGATGAACCGCCAGATTGCCAGACTCACAGGTCTACTGCTGTACATATCTTCCACAGCCGGTGTTCATATGGTAGAGAGGATAGTCAGAACCCTGGCTCCAAAACTACCTCTTCTCTCCTTTCTACGGTTCGAGTCACACGGTGGATGGGATCCAAACCAGAAGCACAGTGATTTAGACCAGGGGTGTCAAACTGGTTCCAGAAAGGGCCGTGTGGCTGCAGGTTTTCTTTCCAACCAATCAATAGCACACCAGACTCCAGTCATCTCATCAAGTGAGTACAATCTGAACATAATGACTTGATGAGATGACTGGGGTCTGGTCTGCCATTGCTTGGTTGGAAAGAAAACCTGCAGCCACACGGACCTTTCTGGAACCAGTTTGACACCCCTGATTTAGACGCTTCAGTGTCTTTCAGCTTCGTTTGCCATCAAACTAAATTTCCTAAGTGTTTCACAGTTGTTAGATATCACTGGTATATCCAATGTGTACAACTGCTAGCTGAAGCATCAACCAATCCCATGGTGTCACAGCTTGGAGTATTTCAAATCTAGCCCAAAGTCCCTAATGTAAAAGTCCAGGTCAAGTGTCAGGTCTTAAAGTGCAGTCATGTGACTGGAGTCCCTCCTTTGGATCAGAGGTTCAGGGTTCCAATGAAAGCAGCTGTTGGTCCTTCATTTGGATGCAGATGCTGCATTCAGGGACCGGTCGGACCCCTATCTTTTGCTGTGACAAAGGCAAAGGTCACATTCAGTTGTTTCAAAATGCTCTAGCTGAGGCCGTCTCTAGTTGATGATGTATAGCTGATTTTGTGTTGTCTAGTTGAATTTGTCTCTAGTCAATTAAATTACATGGACAATTTTAATTGTCCATGTACTGAATTGTACAATACAAATAAAATTGCCTTGGCTTCTAGTTGATGCTTTATCTAGTTGATGCCGTCTCTAACTGAATTCGTCTCTAGTTAATGTTATCTGTAGTTGATATTGTCTCTAGTTGATGCGATCTATATATCTGTTTGAAGCGTATGAACAGTTCTGTCATCATACTGGTGTTTGGTGAGACCTGGCAGATAGAATACAGATCAGACAAATGAAGGTGAAGAACCTTTAGAAAGCAGGTAGAAGTTATGAAGGAGGGGTCAGCCTCACCCTGTGTTTGAAAGGTTGCAGCAGTTCTTTAGCTTCATCACACAGAGGACAAGGATCCTACAGAGAGACAAGTCAGCTCACATTTAGTTCTGCACACAGTCGTCTCTGAACAAAACTAGAACCTCTACCCAAGGTAACACCAGAGTTCAAATTAGAGGTGCACCAACTTTCTGATCTCAGCTTTATTCTGCTTTCACTCATTTTAGCGGATTTCTATGAATAGCAAAGTCCTACAATGGTTGTTGCTATCCCACACTTTAGAAACGCGTCTAAACTGGCACTGAAGGGTTTGGAGCAGACTTCTTAGACCTTCTAACTGCTTGGATTAGGGATTAGCAGGTGTTTCCACTAACTGTGAACATCATCTCTAAATCCAACAACACCTTAAAGAAACAGAGCCCGTCTGGAGGGACATATTCAGCCTCCCCCGGTATCGATGGACTGGTTACTGCTCCAGGTTGACCAGCAGCCCTCTGGGACAAAGATCAGGTACAAAACCACCACAAAAGTTCACAAAGTGGAAGAGGAAAGAAAAGGCCAGGATCTGTTTAAGTATGACCGGAGAGAGCCTCCATGGGAAGCACAGCGTCCCCCCACCCAGTAACGCCCCCTGGTAACACCCCACACAGAGGAGCCCCGGGGTCAGCTCCTACAGGCAGGATGGGGCCTTCAATGATTAGAAATAAACGGACTTTTGAGTTTTTCCAGCAGTCAGGGTGATTCATCCTCCAAACATCTGACTATAGTGAGCAGCTAACGTCTTGCGTCTTGGTGCATCTCTAAGAGAACCCGGTTCCCTTCTGTGGAGGTTCTACTGTGAAAGAGGATCAGGGTTACCTTTGTGAACAGAGTGAGAGTAGGTAAAGATTTGGAGGAAAACAGTCTGTAGAGCTGCAGAGCAGGACGGCTGCACAGCGTCCTGTGAACAAACATCCTCTCTGAGAACAGAGACGTTAGAGGAGTTACGTCCAGGTACTGCTCCAGGATTCAGACACAAACCGGACCGTCATTACAACAAGCTCTGAATCATCACATTACATGAAACTGTGCAGATGTTCTGTGTTTTGGATCATGGTTCTTTTAGTCAACCTTCCAACCCCCCTAGCCTTCAAGTCAAGATGGAATCACAAAATCTGAAGCTACTTCCTCTGATTGATCCAGCAGCACCGGCACAGAAACAGACCCAGCAAAGGAATGGTGCCACGTTCTTCAGGTGTTTCTTCTAAACCAGCAGACTGCTCCCATCAGAGGACTGAGTATGACCCCGTTCCCACTCCATGACAGACTTGGTAAAAGAACCTTCATGGTTCTTGAACAAAGAAGGTTCTTGGTTCATGGTGAAAGAAAACAAAGGTTCTTCCACAATATCAAAAGCAGGACTGTTCCATCTGGGTTCTGGGTCTCCTCCCTGACATAATAATCAGTGATACTCTATCATATTGAGTACCATCACCCACCAACGCGTCCACCTTTAATCAGGTGTCTGAGAACAGGGTGTGATTTGAGCCACATGATGGAGCTCAATGGAGTCCTGCCACCCTGAAGCAGAAGCAGCTTTAAAGCAGGATCTCATCCTTCTGAGGGGCACTATAATTAATGACCACAGACGGACCGTAGGTCAAGAGCTTCCATGTTTAGAGAGACATGCCTTGACCAGGACAGATGCCCGAATTACTGCGGCAGACTCCATCAGTTCATCTCCTGCTTCAACTTTCTATTATTAACAAAAAGTAGGATACTTCAGCTCCTTCACTTCTATCCAGACAAGAACCGTGGCCTAAGATAAAGGGTGACTGAGTCTCATTCCACACCAGTTCCCACTCAGCCTCAGACCAATGCACCGCCAGCTGAAGGTCACAGTCTGAAGAGTACCACACAGCGTTCCTTTACCAGAACCCCTCATCTCCACAACTTTCCCTTAAGATCCCAACAGGACAAGAGGAAGGGGGCAGACCTGAGGAGCCCCGCCCGACTTCCTGTGAAGAAAACAGACCTAGCTTTGCTTTGGTTATACCAGAACCAGCCAAGCTTTCTCCAACATTAGAACTTAAAGGTCTAGACAGTCTCCTCCGGTCCTTCAGGGCTAAAGCTTTAAGATGTAACCCTCCTTGGCTCAGAACACCTCAATCAAACCCCTGAATTATGTTCTCCGAGTCAAAGTTAGAAATGCTTTATGGCTAAGTAGCGTTTGACACATATGAGGAATTTATTTTGGAGATGAGGTGCTACAGATAGACAAGCAAACACTTTAACATAAATAAATAAGGGAATAGAAAATTTTAGAATGAACAAATGGAAGTTGTGTCTAAAGAGTACGGGGGTGGCTAGTAAAGAGTCCCTTTGTTTCTGGGGATGATGGGGGAGGACTAAGACGGCCCCTTTTCGTGCGCAGGGTGCTCTAGTCTGCCCTTCTCTGGTACGTGCGACCATCCCCATGTCTGCCCTCCTTGTGTCCCTGTGATCTGGGGGTCCTCTGGATTTCTGGGGCCAGGAATGCCTCTTTGTCTATCCAGGGAACCTGTAGGGTGAGTCTGGGGCCACCCAAACCTGCTATTGAACATATTTTCCTTCTGAGGAAGCTGTAAATAATTTATACATGAACATGCCCACGCATGGATACCACAGGAGTTTTTTCTTCCTTTTGCTGTCATGTTCTCTGTCTCTCTCATCTCATCCAGGTGTGGACGCAGATTTCTAGGAGTTACTCTAGATCTTCTGTTTCTATTTTTGCTGTGTTATTCTCTCTCTTTTCAGAAACTCTTTCCTGTCTCCATCTCTTTCTCTCTCCCCTTAGTTCTTTTCCCAATTTCTTTATCACCTCTCTTTCCATTTCCATTCTATACAATGTTATTTTCTAAATTATTTACCAAGCAGAGCCTTATGGTAACAGTCCTAATGGTCTGTTTATGAAAGCAAAGCTGGGCTATCAGCTATCTGTGGGCAAAGACCAGCAGGAGGAGCTCTGAATGGAATAAAACAGACCCGTTATACAGATAGAGAAATGTTAATAGAATAGACATACATTATTTGTTCTAGGTTGTGTCCCTCTCTTCTTGTCCCTCTTTTCTTCTTGTTTTCCTCTCTATGTTTTGTACTCAGCTGACTTTTCATGCTGTCTCTAAAGGAATTAAAGATTTTTTTTCCAAGCACTAAGCTCACTTAGCTGATTGCTCCTTCCTGTGTTTCCAAAAAGGCAAAAGTAAATAACCCAGTCCTTCTTTTCACTGTAGACAAGCCATGATCTGCTTCTCTGTTCTCCATTTTTCATGTGGATGAAATAATAGCTGCATGAATCAGGGGTCTGAAAACAACACAGATCTTAGCATCGTTTGTTTTCAAATGGTTTGCTGCTGTCTGTTTGGACCTTTCTGAACATGTGCACCAAATGGACTGATCCAATGTGGTGGACACTGAAGGGGGGGGTTGAGACACTATGAGATCTGATGGCATTTTAGGGAAAGTATAATAACGTGCACAAATAAGGAATAGTTATATTAACCATACATGGAAACAAAGTTTTATGGGGCCCCCAGGAACTTGGGGCCCTAAGCATGCAGCCTAGCCTGATGGTAAATATGAATTAGATCTTCTGTTCTGCAGTTTTTGACCCACTATCTCCTGGTCCAGAAGTTCAGGAGCTCCTTCTGGTGGGGGTTTCATTATTAAAGCAGCTGACATCATGTTGAAGGTGTAGGATTGGTTCAAACAGCAGGATGGAGACATTTAGGAGCAGCTTCTTCTCTGTCACTTCAACACAGTCAGAGCAGCAGCTCAGATCTAGAGCTCCCAGACTGTACAGCCTGACGGAAGATAACAGCAGCTAGAAATGTTTTACCTGCTCAGCGAGGTCCTTTATCTGCTGCCAGCGGTGTTCGAGGACGTGGGGAACAAGCAACTCTGAACGCCTGGCCAGAAGAAGAAGAGGCAGAAGAAGAAGAATGTGAGCTGAAGGGCGAACAGGCTCCCCCTGCTGGCCGTTACCTCGCCCTACAGTTCAAAGAATCTCTGGGTTTAATTTTCCCAACAGAATGACATTAAAACAACCATCTGTTCTTAGATCTGTTTTTATGTCATGACCATAAACTATTTTTTCATTTACATAATAAAAAAAAATGTCATCATGTAGAAGAAAATCCATGCATTTGATATTTTTTCCTAATTTTAGAACCTAAAAAATAAACAAATGGCAAAACCCTCCTAAAGCATAACCAAACTAACTAACATTAGAAGTTGTGTTTTATTAGAAGGTCATGAAACAGTTGCAGCTACAGACCTATTTCATCTGGCTGGATTCAGAACAGCTCTTTGTATTTGGAAGGTTGCAGACCTTTGTTCTAAGCATAAGCGTCGTTAGACCTATTTAAGGGTGGCTTCAGTCATCCTTTCTTTGGCATTAGCCACCCTATAATTATTTTGCGATTTAAAAAAAAATATTTTTTTTTCTGTATTTATTTTTTCCTCATATTTTCCCAAAACAAATGCAGTAAAGCACCGAATAAAAGCCATAAAGAAGACAAGTTAATCTGAACAAACAGACAACGCCTTAGCAGGTGCACTGAAAAAATTTCGGCGCGCGCTATGCAATATCTTCTAGGGGCTGAGCCACCCTTGTCTCTTAAACCTAGAGACGCCCCTGGTTCTAAGCTCTACATATCTAGAACAAATGCTTTCAAAGTAAAGGCTCTAAATCTAGGTTTAGTGATGGACTCAGACCTGAACCTTCAGGCTCGTAGAGACAGGAACACAGCAGACCTTCATCACCTGAAGAACATCTCCAGGATTAAAGGACTAATTTTGAAAAACTACTTCCTGCTTCTTTCATCTTTAGTAAAATTGATCCCTGCAGGAGAACTTCCACAGGTCTGCCTAGAAAGTAGATCAGATACTGCTGCCTGCGTCCTCACTAGAACTTTAGAAAGTAGATCAGAGCTGCAGCTGATCCAGATGCTGCTGCCTGCGTCCTCACTAGAACTATAGAAAGTAGATCAGAGCTGCAGCTGATCCAGATGCTGCTGCCTGCATCCTCACTAGAACTATAGAAAGTAGATCAGAGCTGCAGCTGATCCAGATGCTGCTGCCTGCATCCTCACTAGAACTATAGAAAGTAGATCAGAGCTGCAGCTGATCCAGATGCTGCTGCTGTATCCTCACTAGAACTATAGAAAGTAGATCAGACAGCTGCAGCTGATCCAGATGCTGCTGCCTGCGTCCTCACTAGAACTATAGAAAGTAGATCAGACAGCTGCAGCTGATCCAGATGCTGCTGCCTGCGTCCTCACTAGAACTATAGAAAGTAGATCAGAGCTGCAGCTGATCCACATGCTGCCTGCATCCTCACTAGAACTATAGAATGTAGATTAGACAGCTGCAGCTGATCCAGATGCTGCTGCCTGCGTCCTCACTAGAACTATAGAAAGTAGATCAGAGCTGCAGCTGATCCACATGCTGCCTGCATCCTCACTAGAACTATAGAAAGTAGATCAGAGCTGCAGTTGATCCACATGCTGCCTGCATCCTCACTAGAACTATAGAAAGTAGATCAGACAGCTGAAGCTGATCCAGATGCTGCTGCCTGCATCCTCACCAGAACTATAGAAAGTAGAATAGACAACTGCAGCTGATCCACATGCTGCCTGCATCCTCACTAGAACTATAGAAAGTAGATCAGAGCTGCAGCTGATCCAGATGCTGCTGCCTGCGTCCTCACTAGAACTATAGAAAGTAGATCAGACAGCTGAAGCTGATCCAGATGCTGCTGCCTGCATCCTCACCAGAACTATAGAAAGTAGAATAGACAACTGCAGCTGATCCACATGCTGCCTGCATCCTCACTAGAACTATAGAAAGTAGATCAGAGCTGCAGCTGATCCAGATGCTGCTGCCTGCATCCTCACTAGAACTATAGAAAGTAGATCAGAGCTGCAGCTGATCCAGATGCTGCTGCCTGCATCCTCACCAGAACTATAGAAAGTAGAATAGACAACTGCAGCTGATCCACATGCTGCCTGCATCCTCACTAGAACTTTAGAAAGTAGATCAGAGCTGCAGCTGATCCAGATGCTGCTGCCTGCGTCCTCACTAGAACTATAGAAAGTAGATCAGACAGCTGAAGCTGATCCAGATGCTGCTGCCTGCGTCCTCACTAGAACTATAGAAAGTAGATCAGACAGCTGCAGCTGATCCAGATGCTGCTGCCTGCGTCCTCACTAGAACTATAGAAAGTAGATCAGACAGCTGAAGCTGATCCAGATGCTGCTGCCTGCGTCCTCACTAGAACTATAGAAAGTAGATCAGAGCTGCAGCTGATCCAGATGCGGCTGCCTGCATCCTCACTAGAACTATAGAAAGTAGATCAGAGCTGCAGCTGATCCAGATGCTGCTGCCTGCATCCTCACTAGAACTATAGAAAGTAGATCAGAGCTGCAGCTGATCCAGATGCTGCTGCTGCATCCTCACTAGAACTATAGAAAGTAGATCAGACAGCTGCAGCTGATCCAGATGCTGCTGCCTGCGTCCTCACTAGAACTATAGAAAGTAGATCAGAGCTGCAGCTGATCCACATGCTGCCTGCATCCTCACTAGAACTATAGAAAGTAGATCAGACAGCTGCAGCTGATCCAGATGCTGCTGCCTACATCCTCACTAGAACTATAGAAAGTAGATCAGAGCTGCAGCTGATCCAGATGCTGCTGCCTGCATCCTCACTAGAACTATAGAAAGTAGATCAGAGCTGCAGCTGATCCAGATGCTGCTGCTGCATCCTCACTAGAACTATAGAAAGTAGATCAGACAGCTGCAGCTGATCCAGATGCTGCTGCCTGTGTCCTCACTAGAACTATAGAAAGTAGATCAGAGCTGCAGCTGATCCACATGCTGCCTGCATCCTCACTAGAACTATAGAAAGTAGATCAGACAGCTGCAGCTGATCCAGATGCTGCTGCCTGCGTCCTCACTAGAACTATAGAAAGTAGATCAGAGCTGCAGCTGATCCACATGCTGCCTGCATCCTCACTAGAACTATAGAAAGTAGATCAGACAGCTGCAGCTGATCCAGATGCTGCTGCCTGTGTCCTCACTAGAACTATAGAAAGTAGATCAGAGCTGCAGTTGATCCACATGCTGCCTGCATCCTCACTAGAACTATAGAAAGTAGATCAGACAGCTGAAGCTGATCCAGCTGTAAATTGTCTCATTCGATTGGCAAAATATATCTTTTGCCTCCTCAATTCAAGAACAAATTCACTTATTTTAAGAAAAAATTACTTACCTAGATTTCGATTTTTTCCAGTGGGTTCTGATAGATTCAAATGGATCCATGATCACCGGTATGTGATACGCTGGTCTGACAGCAGAAATGAGAAATCTCCCCACATCATGACACCTCGGCATCAGAGGCATCGAGTAACAAAGGATAAATATTTTACTGAAGTAGAAATGTTGGCTTTCTAGACTTTACTGGAGTCATTATTTTCTAGACAACTTTTTCCTTCTACTCCTTACCAAAAAAAACAACAACAAAAAAAACGTGTTAGTTTTGTTTCATTTAAGCTCATTTTTATTATGGCCTGTTGGTAAAATAAATAAAACCATCAAATTAATTTGTTTCATCCAGACAATTAATTTATTTGTGGTTGGACTCGGTGCTGCCCCAACTTGTTGTTCACCACATACCAAAATAAATAGTTTTTAAAGATTATGCAGATTAAGTTAAATTTGACACCATTAGTTATAAAACTAAGAAAATGAAATCTAAGGAAGTTATCATCCAGATTTGTAGACAAATGTTCCTTTTATAGGGTAGAGCAGTAAAGCCTCTCTCCTGAACAGTTTTTACTGCATTACTTTTATACTATACAGTAGTAGCCATTCAAAAATTCCCCACTTTCCTTGATGGGCTGTTCCTCTACAACTCCTTTCATGATTTGTGGACATTAAGATCTAAAGAGAAGTGGAATCTCCTGGTCAGACCCTGTAATTCAGTGAAAGGCCGGAGTCAGAGGAAAAAATACGCCCGCCCAGGTGAAGACCAGAGGCTGGAGGGGATTTTGTTGCCATTGGGCTGGCTTTTGACTGCGAAGGGTCTTTTTGAATGGCTGCTATTGTACTTATAGTATATTATACTTTTATAGCCAATAAGCTTTAGCTCTTTTTACACCTCAGCCTCTCAGACCAACCAGCGCTGGACCATATAGGGAAGCTCTGATCCTCAGAGAAAGGCTCCAAAACCAACAGTTCCCTTCTTTATTTTAAAATTACCGCCTGTTCTCTGAACTCATAACAAGGTCACTCCCCTTTAATGAGGGATTTGGTTCCCCAGCACTGGGCTGCCGGTTCTGGACGTGAACGATGCGTCATGTAGTGACAGAAGTTCCCCGATCATGTTGGAGGGAATTATTAGAGCTGGGAGGCAGCAGTGTTTTCATACTGATGGTTATAGTAGCAGCTCTCTGGTGCCTCCTTCACGCTCTGGCTCAGTTACGTAGATGTTCTATAAGGAGCAGAGAACCTCTGGAGCCATGTCTTCTCCAGTTGATCTTTCTACTCGGCCTCTTTGCTCTAATAAGGTGGTGAAAGAGGTTTTTCTCCTCTGTGATGCTCCCCTGCCTTTCAGTTCATTATTCTGAACACTAGAGGGAGCTGGAGGAGACCAAACCAGTTCCACTGCAGTTTTCTAAACTTCAGGAACATTTTAAAGCAAAAAAAAAAAAAAGACAATAAAACAAATGTAGCTACATATTCCCATGGTAATAAATACTTGGTTCTATCTAAGTGCTCTGGATCTAGATTTCTGATGTGTTTAAACTTCATAAAGCTCCAATTAGATCAACTATTACTGCTGATTGAACCGCCATTCTGTCCTCAGTGAAACCAGGAGAAAACCAGGATCCACTCAGAGGATCGTTTTACTACAGGAACCAAACAGGCTCATTTTCCTGAAA